GGGGTGCACCTATGAGGCATATAGTTATTAGGTTACAAAGCCTAGGTGAATCACTTGAGGATTTTAAGGAAATGGAGATACAAGTCTTTGATATTAAAGATTATCTTACATTTAATAATACTTATTTTATAGTTATCACAAAATAAAAAACTCAAAATAAATTATTAAAATGATTTTCCTAATACATACAAACTAAAATACAATTCAACTTGATTAAACTATATTTCACCAATCTATTGATAGAGAGTGGCCTCTCAATATTAGAAACTCACTCATCCATCAACTATTAAAAAGTAATGTCATTGGTACAAAATAGACAACACTATAACATTTTTTTTAAAATAATTTGTTTGGTAAAATCTTTAGTCCTTACTTCTAAGTAAAGTTATTGGCATCATCAATGTTATTAAGATTACTAAAATTTTAATTTTTTTTAAATTAATGTATAAAAATATTAATTTATTAACTTATTTTAATTTATTAATTAATAAATATTAATTATTTTTATTAATTAAATTAAATAAAATTTATATTTTTAAATATAATATTTTATAATTTTAACCACCATAACATTATTATTGATCCCATAAGAGTGCCCCTTCCTCCTTTTTTTTTAAAAAAATACCGAGCTAGAGTCCAACTTTTGAGTTTTCATCAAACTTGGTTAATCAAACTTGGTTAATCAAACTTATCCTAAATAGATGGGGGATCAAACAACTAGTAAAATAAATAAATAGATTGATTTTCGTGTTTGGCCAGACTAGTAAACTGTTTTGCTCAAATAAGAATATTAATAATCTAAAAAAAAGTCATTCATATGATGGCCAATTTACTTCAGCATTTCCCGCTTCCTGAATCTTGAGTAGTTTGTTACAAGATTCTCATTCAACCTCAAAATTCAAAAGACCACTGTACATGTGTTGGCTGTTGTCATCTAATAAGAATAAATCAGCCAATACCTCCTTGCCAAGAACATGTTGTTCTCTCTCCTTCAAAATGTCCGTTCTCCTTTATTCTAACAAAAAAAGGGTCATCCTCTTTCCTGTCGAAATGTATCAGCTTTGGCTACAGAAGGATTAGTATTCTGCTGCATTCCATTCGCAGAGACAATCTTTGATGAACTCTGACCAACCATGTCATTGGCATCTTTCAACAATCTTTGACGATTAGCCAGTAGTATACTCTGATTTAACTTCTTTGCATTGAAGGGAAGATTACCAGCACCAAGCAAACCATCTTTGTTATAGATGTGTAGTCCCTCCAAATTTTCAGTAGCCAAACTGCTACTGCACCTTTTGGACGGTAATAAATTTCTCTTGGACAAATCATGTTGTGACTTTCTGCTACCTTCTCTGAGGACAGGAGGAACCATGTTACTTTTTTCTGGCACTGCTTCGACATTACTGCTCCTCCCACGAAGCCCACACCTTGCTGCAAATGCATCAGGATGGTCGTTGTGAACAGTAACTCCATGAGGTTGGTTATTAATATCATGCACCAACCCACTAATTTCCTTCAAAACAGCAGCTTCAGGGCCACTTCTGTTAAGAATTGTGTCTTTAAGCTGTTAAAAAGTACACAAAAAGGAAACAAGATTAAAAACAAACAGAAAGCCAATGATGACTGATGAAACTCTGAAGTCCCAAATGGTAACAATAATAATGAAAAAAGAAAGATGAAAAATTCCCAATTCACCTCTTCCAATGCACATTTAGGCATGGTAGCTCTTTTATGCATGATAAATGGATAAATATTCCATCTTAACAGCTCTGGTCTTGTATTTTCCAAAGATGCTGATGACTTACATGACTGACAAAAAGAGATGCATGTAAGTTATAAGGAAAGACTACAACAACATCCCAGCTGGTTAGCTATTATGAGAAAATGAGTGATCATAAAAAACTTCGTTATTTCAAGACAAGCAAATTAGTTAAAACAAAAATATGGATTAAAATTTATCACCTCCAGAAGTATGCATTTAAGTACATCTTCACAGCTTTTTGAAAGATCAAAGCTAATTCTTGAATCAGGAATAACATCACAATTGAATCTATCAAGAGGATGAAATAACTCCTCCAAACGTCTCAAAGCAAACCTTTCCTTAGCATGTTTCACTAGATCATCTGGTAAGTCTGGAGACCTTTCAATTAAATCTGAAATGAGGAAATTAAGGAACTATTAAGCACTCTATAACTCATCTGAGATTCAATTGAAAATTAAAAGTACTAATTTCTAAGTATATGGGAATATGAATTTGTTCATACCATGCAAAACAGAAGTATCAACTTGCTTGAAGCTGGACAGATATTCAATGATCCAATGCCATGGAAGGCTTGAATCAAGAGACGAAATGTCAGTCATGATAACTACTGATTTACTGTCTGAACTTCCAGGTAAGACAAATCCATTGAACTCATTCACAGTCACATTCCACAAAACGTGCTTGAGATTACTAGCAACCAGTGAGTGCTTAATCTATACACCACAGCAATGCAAGGTCCATAAATTTGAATATGTTAGAAAGGTTTAAGTACAGGTTAATAGGGAAAAAATCTCATATCACATCAGGGCCCAAGACCATTATTTTGCTCTAACTACCAACTTATTTACGACATCATTTGAAGAACATTGGAACAATATCCACAGAGGAAACATATCCTTCCCATAAGAAGGGCAAAGATAGAAACATTAAAACCAAATAAAAGCACAATTACTATGGTTCAGTTTATTGACATACAAGATTATTCAATGAACCTATGCTACCCACGTTGGAACATTATCTTTCAGCTTAAAAGGCAAACTCAAAATACCTTAATAAGTTTAAGAAACAAATGTCAAATTCTGGGCAGATAAGTATTCAAGAAATAACATTCACTCAAAGCAGGGTAAATTCCAGTAACTCCACTGTACTTTGAGGTTGAAATAAACCCAAAAAATAAGAAAGGAAACAAATTATCAGTCGATCACAGCAAGGAAAAGTGGAAAACCACAACAAGATACAATTCCGTTAGAGAAAAACACATACATACTGCTCATGTATAACTTAACCCATCAAATACGAAATACAAAAGATCGGAAATTCGTAATGGACGAAAGTTAGGGTTTCCTCGAAAAGAAGAAGAGAAATCGCAACCCATTTGGTTGCTTAGAGGATTTTGGAAGAGAAATCGAAAATGTAAAATCATTTAAAATTTACCCATGTCCATTTCCAGCTTCCATTTCCCCCAAACTTTCTCAGTAACCAAACAGAGAATGCAAAGGCGAGTATTGGAAATGTAAATAATAAACATGAGTCCCTCGTGAGAATACCTGACCACATGCTCAGATAATTTTCGCAGCCAAGAAAGACGTAGCTTGTGTGGTTTTTGTTCAGAATCTGGGAACTGTTTTCCTGGGGAAATTATCATAAAGAACTTTTCAGTGTCAAATTCGCGCCACCATTTTGGCGGAAAAGAAATGCTGGGCGCCACAACTCTCTTAACATCTATAG